CTTCGTTGTCGAGTGAGTATATATACTGACGTGTACTTTTCTGCTCCACCTTTAAGTGTCTTTTACTGCCATTTATTGGCCCTCGGGCCCTTATTTTTTTGTAGTCTAACATCGGCTAAAGCTCTTTGCTTGCCTGCCGCTTTTTATTCACCGCCTGGATTTGTCTGGTGAGATCATCGTGCTTCTTTCTGCTGAGAGTGTGAGTGGATTTTTCTGGAAATCTTCGACGGTTGACATCGAATTTACTTCTCCCTGCGCCTGCGCTTCTGGGGCGGGAGGCTGTGAGCCCGTCAAGTGGGAGACGAACCGGCGATCTCTGGGCCTGTTTCCAATGATGTCTTCGCGGGACTTATCCTCGGGCGTGATTGGCTTGGATGACAGCTTTCGTGAGAATGGCGGACTGCCGCGACAGCACTCCTCCTCTTCTTTACATACGGCGGTAGGTCCTAGCGGCTCTAATGCCGTTATGAGTTCCTCTAGAGTGCATGCTTTGAGACGCTCAATTGGAGAGCACTCTAACGCTGTCTCTAAATTGCTATTAACTAGCAAAGACTCGTCTGACAGGCGATTTCAGATAGAGTCTGCTTTTCGCGTCTGCAAGGAAGCGTTTTTCGAGCTTTCGACAGTCTATCTTTGCATGCTCGAGGATGGGAAAAAAGAAGTACCATCGTTGGGTGCAATCAGAGATGTATTCTCTGATGCCTTCTCTCGGTTTCGGGATGAGTGTTCGAGAGAGTTCAATGCTAAGGAGAGTGCTGTTTCAAATCACTCATATGCTTCGGCTGTTAAAACTCCTGTATCCTCAGTGAAGGTTGCCCGCGGGCAGTCTCTTCCCGTTATAAAGTCAACGAATATTCTTGTTTTACCTAAAAAAGGCCAAGATAAATATGCAACCTCTAGAGAAACGAAGGAGGCCTTTCAGAAGCTTATTAGACCTTCTGACTTTAACTTAAAAGTCAAAAGAATTACACCTACACGTGACAAAGGTGTACGCATCGAGGCCATCTCCGGAGATATCTCTAAATTGTGTAGTTCTAGGGAATTAAATAGTGCTGGCTTGGAAATCGAACACATTGCTAAGATCAAACCTCGCCTTATATTACATGACGTGCCTGCCGGGTTATCTAAAGAGGATTTAAGATCCGAACTTATTGCTCTCAACCTCGACAAAGACACTGAAACTGACGTTAAGGTTGTATATGTCTTTCCAAAGAAGAATAAGTCATATGTGAGCTGCGTTATTGAGGTCTCGCCTCAAATACGGACTAAATTGTTGCAAGGAACTCACGTGTACATTAATTACTCTGCATGTCGTCTAGCTGATTATGTCAGAGTTCTTCAGTGTTATAGATGTCTAGCCTTTGGCCATTTATCTATAAATTGCTCTGCGTCTCCCCTCTGTGGCCACTGTGCTGGTCCCCACGAGACGAGGAGCTGTTCTGGTAGGGGCGGACCGGCATCGTGCGGAAACTGCAGGAGGTGGCACCACGGAGATCTTTCTCACTCGGCCTTGGATAGCAATTCTTGCCCTATCCTAATCAAGAGGCTTCAAGACAAAATTAAAACAATTAATTATGGCTAGAGTTCCTCCTACACTTGATAGCATTCGAGCGTGTCATGTAAATTGCCAATCCTTGCTAGCTCACATCGACGAATTTAGAGAGTTTTTTATGCTCTCTCAATATCTTATCATAGGCATGTCTGAGACATGGCTTAAACCATCCTTATCGGATCAAACAGTTTCTCTACCTGGCTTTCAGCTGTTCAGGTGTGACAGGGTGGGGAAGGGTGGCGGCGGTGTGGCTCTTTTCGTCTCTGGCTCTCTGAAAGCTAGGATTATTACCACCTCTGGTGGTTTTTACGAGAAAAAACCTGAATTCATTATCGCTGAGATATCCACGGCTAATGAAAAGTTGCTACTGGCGGTCGTATATCGACCACCCCACTGTGGTTATCTAACGAATTTTTTTGACACGTTTTCAAATCTATCTACATCTTACAAGCACACTATTATCTTCGGCGACTTCAATGCTAATCTGTTAGCCGAGAATTATGACTCCGATCAAATAAGAGACTTCATCTATTACTCTGCGCTTTATTTGGTGCCTTATGCACCTACTCATCATACGCCTTCTTCTTCTACCTGGTTGGACCTGTGCATAGTTGATGATAAAGAGAAGCTTATCTCCTACGATCAGCTAGATGTTTGTTTCCTGTCTTCGCACGACCTAATAGATATCACTTATAATATTCCTGTTGGTAAACGCGATGCCAGAACCATTACCGTTAGAGATTATAGCAACTTTGATTGGAACCACTTTCTTGTAGAGCTTTCTAGTTGCGACTGGAGTATCTTCATAAACTCTGATGAAATTGATAATAAAGTGACTATGTTTAACGAATATATATCTAACTGTTACAATAAACACGCGCCACTTAAGATCATTCATCCTAAGCATCTGCCTGCGCCCTGGATTACGCCTGAAATTAGGTCCTGCATGAATGAAAGAAATAAGCAGCGCAGAAGGTGGCGAAGGAATAAATCTGACGTTAATTATAATCTCTATAAGAGATTGAGAAACCAGGCTCAAGCCATGGTGCGTGATGCTAAACAGAGTTATTACCTTTCCATTTTTTCAAATAAAAAAGACCCTTCCACCATATGGAAGAACCTTCGTCAGTTAGGCTTGATAAAGTCTAAAACCTCTGATAGGAGCTTGCTTTTCTCCATAAACGAGCTGAACTCCTTCTTTCTTGCTGACTCGAATGAGACTACCGACTTAAGCGATGTTTTTCTTGGCGATGAGTCCTATGAAGACAGCAAATTTTATTGGAGTTATATTGACTTCAACGACATTCGTCACGCCATCCGTGAAGTTAAGTCTGGATCCGCTGGCATGGATGGTTTTTCATTGGACATGATCAGTCGTGCTCTACCTAGTATTACACCTTACATTGCTCATTTATTTAACCACTGTCTACTCCATGGTGTTTTTCCTTCTCAATGGAAATCTGCTATTGTGTGTCCTATTCCTAAGGTAAAACATCCATCTGAACTTAAGCATTATAGGCCGATATCGATTTTGTGTTCTCTTTCCAAAGTTCTTGAACGCCTCGTTGCTCGGCAAATTATTGACTACGTGGAGGCAAATAATCTTCTTGATCCTCTTCAGCATGCGTATAGACGGGACCACTCTACGCAGACTTCACTTATTAGAGTCGTTGACGATATGAGATATGCTGCCGACTTAAGACAGGTTACAGTATCTGTGTTCTTTGATTTCACCAGGGCCTTTGACCGTGTTAACCACCGTACTTTGATCGACAAACTCAGAAAACTAAATTTTTCTTGTACTGTTCTCAGGTGGCTCTGTTCCTATCTCTTCGGTCGGACACAAGTCGTGAAGGATCCTGTGACTGGAGTTTATTCTAATGAGCTGCCCGCTTTGTGTGGCGTCCCTCAGGGTTCCGTTCTCGGCCCTTTGCTCTTCTCTCTTTATGTCTCTGACTTCGGCAAAAACTTATGTTTTTGTAAATATAACTATTATGCGGATGATTTACTTATATATATCCACACTAAGCCATCTCTCCTTCATGAGGCTATAACTAAAATCAATCTTGATATCCGCAATGTAGTCCAGTGGTCGACTGTAAACAATTTGACTTTAAATGCTAGCAAGACTACTGCAATGATTTCTGGTACTAGGAGATATATTGGAAGTTTCGTTCTGGACGGCTTGCCCCGGGTCTTGGTTGAGGGGAGCGAGATGCCGTATAGTGACTCAGTCGTCTATTTAGGTGTTACTATTACTAGTACGCTTTCTTGGGAAGAACACGTCTCTCGTACCGTGTCGCGTGTTAATTCTTCTCTTCATCAGCTTAAGTCTCAGAAAGGCTTACTTTCAACTGAATTACGCATTAGACTTGTGTCCTCATTGCTTGTTCCTCATTTTGATTACTGTTGTGCCTTGTTCACCGATATTTCGAGTGAAAGCAATCAACGTCTTCAGCGTTCTCTCAACATGTGCATTAGATTCATTTTTAACGTGAAGTGGTATGAGCACATATCACCTTATTTTGAAAGTCTGCGTTGGCTAAAAACTGCACCTAGAAGATTATTTTTTCTTGGGTGTCTCGTATTTAAAATACTCGAAACCCGTCGCCCGCAGGTTCTATATGACACCTTTGTTTTTCGGCGTGACGACGGCTCCCGTGACACTAGAGCAGCCAGTGATGCTCTCGTCCTCCCTTTATCTCGGACAGAATTATTCAGGCGTTCCTTCAGATGCGTTTCTGTTGACGTCTGGAACTCGATTCCTGCTGATATTCGTAAAGAGCCATTTGACATATTCCGAAAACGATTGTATCAGCACCTGCTAGCTGGCTCTGTCTAAGTTATTCTTTGGTATATCCTACTCTCCAGCTAGCTTTTTACTCTGTATATACATTTAGTTATTTCTTCTTAATTTATATTTGTTAACTATTTAGATTTTTATTGTTTCCTCTTAATCTTTCATATTTTATATTTATCTTTGTATTTTTGTTAAAAATATTTTTATTTCTGTCTTAATATTTTCAATACCTTGTCTTACATATTTTATTATTTTTGTTATTTTTTGTCATTATGATCTACTTTTCTGTTTGCTTTGTAATAACAGATGTTTGGCACCCCATTGTCTATTTCATATTCTTATTAGATTTTTCTTTCATATTATTTTTATTATTCTACTTGTTTCTGTTATTTTGTTATAATTTAATTGATTTCTTTTGTTTAATTACCTTTACATTTGTTATATTTACTTTTTAGAATACTTGTCAACATCTGTTAATTTTTGTTTAATTTTTGTTAATTTTTGTTAATTTTTGTTATTTTAATTTTGTTATTTTATTTTCTTATTTCTTTTTTCTATGTATTACTTTATAATTAAGTTCTTCTCTTTTAATATGTTTTCTGTTTACGAAATATTAATTGTACCAAGCGCTTGAGGGGAATTATTCCCAGAGCGCAATACAAATAAAGCTAAATCAATCAATCAATCAATCTCTTTCTGCGACGACTGGTGTATCAGTAACGCGAACTCCGCGCCACACACCCGCCGTTAAACCACTTTAGTTCCCGGTGCGCAGCGTCTCTGACCGTACTCGTTAGCGCGAGCAGTTTTTTTTTTTTTTTCGTCAGAAAATCGACTAATCAGATTTATGTGCGCGATATCGAATCGCGCGCGCGCGTGTATCATTCGCGAAAGCTTCGATTCGCGGAATTTCGATATGCCGGAAATATCGCGCGTTATTAAAAATTCTCCGACTGTAATTGGCGAACGGCGGACAATAGCCGCGGTGAAATGAAAACTACTACCTGGAGCCGGTCCGGCGGCGGCGCCGCCGAAGATTTAAAGGCTTCATGGATTTAATTCAATTTACAATACGTACGAATTACGTAAGGAATTAAATATACTTGGGTGGGGGAAATTCCACAGATACACGGCGGAGATTCGAGCGGCGGCGGCGGCGCTATAATAAGAGAATATAATACCCCGAGTCCACTGCTCCGTTTCAGACTGGGTTAATGCAATTAATTTAATCTTGCAATGTTTCACGTTCGCGCCCTTTTGAATCCCAAGTAGCCCTCCCATTCCAACAGGTAGGAATTCAAGCGCAGGTATTCATTTACAACCAACGGTTTTATTTCCTTAGCTTGTGCGCGAGCGAGCAAGCGCGCTTCCCTCCGAAGAGAAACCGTGGAATATATTAAGGCTCGTCCTCTCTGAGCGTTACACGCAGAAGGCGCCCTTGCCCGCTCGCAATTTCCAGGCGACTTCTTTTTTAACGGCTCCGGGAGCGTAAAAAACTTTTCTCTCCCGCTCTCGTGTTGCGCCGTTACGGAAGTTTGTCTTTACATAATTGCATTCTGGCGCTGCCATCGCTCTGCCGCTTTGTTCCCTCGAAGTTGCGATATCGCCGCCCGTCCGTAACGGCCGAGTAACGCGTTCCCCGCGAAAGGAATAATGTCACAAATCAAGCCCGATCTTCTCGAGAGACAATTCTCCCTTCCGACGCGCAAACACATCTCGGCTCTTCTAAAAGTCGTTCGATTTTGTTCTATTCCGCACACTCCTCGAATTTGCGAAATTTAACTATTTATTTATATCTGAATTAATCAAGCCCTCAATAATTCGCTTTGGGAGTGGAGTTGCCGCTGATCGGCTACTCGGTATTAGGAGAGTGTAGCAGCGGAAGCTCCTTTCCCTCTCGCGAGGCGAATTATTGAGGACTTCCGTGCAATATATTATGAAATAATCGAGAGAGAGAGAGAGAGAGAGAGAGAGAGAGAGAGAGAGAGAGAGAGAGAGAGAGACAAAACACACAGCAGACGTTCATTTAATGAATTAAATGAATACAAGTATAGTCGATTAAAAAGTCAATTAACATAGCAAATAGTACGTTGAAAAGTTTTTTCGTTGCCATCAAAATCGATCTCAGCGTCGATCTCAGGTTCGCAAAATACTGCACTGGCAACAATGTCTATTTGATCAAATAGACATCCCCTTTTCCATCAATCAAATAATTTGCGACGCACCGTGTCGTAAGAATCTTTGACCCGTGATCGCGGTTAATAATTTCGTCGCGCCCTTATACATATCCATAAAATAAAATAAAATGTTGCCGGGACCTACCGTCTTTATGGGACGGTGGAAATCGTATAGCGGCGGATACGGCCGTTTCTCTCGGCGTTGAATATTCCAAGCTTCATGCACGACTGTATCATTTTTTACTCGGCGCGGAAGATCTAAACCACGGCTACGCTGCTGCGGAATGTTAAATCTTTCGCTTGCTCGTTCACCGCGCGCGCACACACACAACACACACACACACGTAATACGCACACTTTCGCACACACCTCGAGTGCGGTGGAATCGCTGCGTTTAAGGCGCGCGACGGGGGAGGAGAATCAATAAACGTTAACTGCAATATGAAACGAGGGAAGCGCGCACAAGCGTTTTCGACACGCTTGCGTGGTCAATTAATAACGAGACGGGGCTTGATTCGTTCGAATATATACATACATGTATACGTACATATACATATATATATCTCTGACACGTAATACTCGGATGAATTTCATAAAAATAAATCGCGAAAATCACCTCGATTATATTACAGTGACAATAATGGAAGCGCAACTGTTTCAACGATGTAAATTAAAAACAAATACGCGGGAATAATAAATATATATACGGGACAAAAATAAAATAATGTTGGAACGAACGCGCGTTTCGTCATTCATCTACCTATCAGAAAACTTCATTTCAGGCTCCCCCGTCGTTTATTGCCCCGTCTCGTTCGGCTTTTTTAAAAAAAAAAATAAAAAAAAAACAACTTACTCAACCAACGATTAATTTCGTCATCGAGACACGAAGTTCGTTGTTCGCCACGCGATAACGTGAGAGAGAGCGATATAAAAACGTAGCCACGATCGCTCGCTCGCGCGCGCACACACATACACACGTATGCACGACGCGAGCTATTGTTTCCGCGAACATCGGGCTATAAATATCTCGTTGCAGACACGAACTAAAGATCACGTTTCCGTCATGATCGCGGGATCGTGCCTCGCGAGAAATCGTTAAAAACGGCGACGTCGCTTATTTTTCAAGCGATATACGCGCGGTTCGGGAATCAAAAATTAAGCGCGCCCGGCATTTCTTAATGGAACGGGAGGATTGTTAATTGTTAACCTCGTCGGTCGTTAATCAGCTCGCTCGTGAAAGCTCATTTGTCCGCTCCTTGTTGTGTAACGCGCGAAAATAAAAACACGCAAGGTGTTGGTTGTTTGATGGTTGGATATATACAGACAGGGGGCGAGAGAAGCGACGAGGGAAACGGCCCAAAGATTGACCCTCGTAAGAAAAAGCGCACGTACGTAGATAATACGTTTGAGATGAGATGTGCTGCATTGCGATGGTACGAGCATGGGAAAAGCGAGAAAAAACCTCGAACGCGAGTTGGACACGATGATGATTGTTTCGCATAAATTGGGATCCACCTCGGACGTCGTTTCGAGAAAATTCGATTTTTCGCGAAAGAGAGGTAACAGCAACCTTCTTCCCGTGGCAAACGCGATCTTAGAGAATCAAAAGAAACGTTCAATTTTAAAACAGGAAAGAGAAAGAAACTAACAACAACAACGTGTAACTTAAGTGCATCGTGCAATTTTTTTGCATAGATTTTTTATT